AATAATAATAATAATAATAATAATAATAATAATAATAATAATAATAAATTTGGGAAACATTTGGGTGAAGGTTTTTCTTATATCACATGATTCTCACAGGAAGATGTGTTTACTGTCTTTTAAGACCTTGGGAGGCCTGACCAAATCAAAAACTACAGAAAAACACTTCAGGTTTTTTTTAATTAATTATTTTTATTTTATAAGTATTTTACCTGCATGTATGTAAGTATGCTACATGTGTGCAATGCCTGCAAAAGCCAGAAGAGGATATCAGATCCCCTGGAACTAGAGTTACAGGTGGTTGTTAGCCATCAAGTGGGTGGTGGGACTCAAACTGGGGTCTTCTGCAAGAGTAGACAGTACTCTTAACCCCTGAGCCATCTCTCTAGCCCAACACTTTGGGTTTTAAAATGCATCACGTCTTCCCATCTGTATCCATCTGAGCTTCTGAGACACTGTGGGAGGCAAGTAAACCTAATGGCTTTCCATTGACCCAGAGGGTATTAGAAAGGCAATGACCGGCTCAAAGTCACATGACTAATTATAATGTTTAAACTTATTTTTCCTTCAGAGAAATCCAGGGCCCAGCAATGAGAACCATCAACACCAAATATTTGCAGAGTCTTTTGCAGTGTGTATGAAACAGTTCTACATAGTATGTACACTTTGCATACTCTCATCTGAACTCTACTGAACACCTCACAAATAGCCACCATTATATTATTACAAAATGACTTAACTCAGCAGTATCCCCTCTGATGTCAAACAGAGCAATCCTTGTACCACAAAGGCTTCTCAGAAACCCACAGGTCTGTTGTCCATTGTCAGCCTAGATTACACAGTCCAAATCTGTTTCTCCACTTAGTTTCATGAAAATACCATTGGATTCTTACATGAGAAACTTGTCTAGTCTTGATAATCTTGCCTAGTTCCCCTTTCTCATGTTTCACTGGGATTGTTTGTTACCTGAACAATCAACTCTCACACAAACCTTGATTAGAGATAGGAGTTTGAGGATGGGACTTTAAAAAGGTTTCTCTGCCCTACAAAGAGTTATATAAACTGTAGATTAATGGAAAGGGCTTTTTAAAGTCATTATTTCTCATTTTAAGGCAATATATACTTACTGAAAAAATGTATAAAAGTAGGAAGAAAAGATTATCAGTGATCCCATCACTAAAATAAAATGTTTTAGGAGAAAAATAAGGCTTTGTCAAAAATTTCAACCATAAAAGTTAAGCTAGTGTCATATAAAACTTCCCGAAAGAAAAAAAAAAAACAAAAAACTGAAATTAGGAACAAAAAATTTTAGTAACCTAGTATTTTCATTTTATAAAGTACAAAATCAACAGTGTTTGGTTCAGTTTACAGGAACACCATGAGCTACATTACACTCCCTTCTGATATTACATTATGTAGGTAATTTGATGATACCAAAGGCAATGATACATTAACTCTCCTGTTGAAAGAATTGTGTGAAATGCCTCCTCTGATTCCAATGCCCAGAGAGGACTGTGCTAGAAAGACCTTCACTGGAGCTAAGCCTGGCCTGTTGAAATGGTGAGAATGTGGATTTACTGACAGTCACCCCATCATTAATAACTACTACTGGGTACCACGTTCTGCTCTAAGCACCTGGGATACAATAATAAATAAAACATATATTTCCCTGCTGGTATGGAGAGACTGCAAACCAAGCAAATAAATTATATATTGAGTTAGAAAGTGATGGTGCCAGGGAGAAATAGAGAGGAAGGAAGAAAAATGGAAATGGAGGGTTGGGGTGAGTATACAGATTGTCTGTTTTTGAGACACAGTCTCCTGTACCTCACACTTTCTATGTAGCTGAGGATGACTTTGGACTTATGGTCCTCTTGCTTCTACCACCAGAGTTCTAGAATTACAGGAAGTGTTTCTGTTGAAATGCAGGGCTTATTCTACCAGACCCATCTTTTTTCCAATATATACTTTATTGAATTTTTGTGCATTTCATACAATATATCTTAACTATATTTAGACCCCCTCCCCTATCTGCACTCTTTTCACGCCCCCCACCATATTTCATGCATTCTGTCATATATGTTAAAGCCTCTGGAGTCAAGTATGTGTACCCAGATGTCCCTCAGTGTGAGTTCATTTGCTGTTAGCCTATTTAGCATTATTCCCTTAGAAAGAGCAACTCTTCCTCACCCGGCCATGATCAATAGTTCCTTGGCCAAGGTTGGGGCCTGTTGGTCATTTCCCCAGTTCTGTGCTGGGTTTTTGTCTGATTGAGTTTGCATGGATCTTGTGCATGTTGTCATCATGACTGTAAGTTCATATGAGCAAGTTCCCAGTGGTATGGAAGACTCTGCTTCCCTATGATCATGTACCAATCCTGGCTCTTACAATCTTTCTGGCCCCTCTTTCACAGTGGTCCCTGAGCCCTGGGTTGATGAGGTTTAATATAGGAGTCCCATCCAGGGACACATGCTCTATAGTCTCATTCTCTACACTTTAGCCAGTTGTGGTATGGGCGTGCAGGGATCTCGGGGCACCAGCTGCTGGGCGTGGCGCTGGTCTCCCACACGTCGCTGGAGTGCAGCGGGTCCCACGGGCCGCGTCTGCTGTTCAGGCCCCTGGCTCTCCGCTGCTGGGGTGCGTGGGTTTCACGTACCGCGTTGCCGTGGGTCTCTGCTACTGGAGCTGGCAGCTCTAGGACCGCTGTCAGCTGCCGGGTCGGGTTCCGTTTCAGTTTTCACCGTGCCCTCCCTCTAAGTTCAAGACCCGTTGGCCACCAGGTCACGAGGGGAGGTGTGAGAAACGGCGAAAGCAGGGTCTCCGTGAGTCGTGGTTTATGAAGAGATAGCCCTCTCCGGGAAGACTGGATCGTAGGCAGTAAGACACAGAACTCAGCTCAGTACCGCTCCTTTATTCAGTGACTCAGCTTGGCTCCAGGTCTTAGTGATTCAGCTCTGATTAATTAGGGGAAAACCAGGATATTTATACTGTGGGGGCAGTGGCAAAAGCCTTAGCGGATAGGTGCTTTCAGGATGCCCCATTTACATGTGGTGGTGGGCTTCTGCCAGGCTGTCAGACAGTACCTGATTATCACACAGGAACAGACAATGCCTGATTAAAACCTGGTAGCTCCTGTGCCGGAGGGTATGTATCTTGTGACGGGCACTTTAAAAGTAAGTCAGGGAGGAGAGCAGAAGGCACCCCACTAAGAAGAGGAGTCTCCCCATTCGTGCCGAGCCAGCTTGTGGCTATCCAGA